GTGATATTTGAGTGGTATCGTGGGAATCCGGAATAATAAATGAGGTCTGAAAATGTCTCTTCTGTAGGCTATTTTTAACGAGCTTTGTAAGATATTGGATCCGGGAAAGCCTTCATTCGCTCTGAAGAAAGGGAAAACAAGTGTTGTTATGTTCGTCGGTTTGCAAGGTATGTTTATACTCTAGAATGACTATATATTGGTTATAAATTCATGTCATATATTGGTTATAAATTCATGTCATGCCATATATTTGGGGGGTTCTAAGTTATTTGGATCTTTTCATTATATTTGAGAAAATTGATGTACTTATTCACCTGTACTTGATTTTAGGATCTGGGAAGACAACCACGTGTACAAAATATGCATACTACCATCAGAAGAAGGGCTGGAAACCAGCTCTGGTTTGTGCAGATACATTTAGAGCTGGTGCTTTTGATCAGTTGAAGCAAAATGCAACTAAGGCTAAAATTCCTTTTTACGGAAGGTCTCTTTGATTTAAATATTTTAATGGCTGTGTTTCTTCCTAAAGTTCACATATTGTTGCTTTGATGCTACACTGATTCTTGAAAATTTGACATATATTGTGACTCTAGGTTAACAACAATTCCCTTTCATTTGGAGGTGGATTTGAATTGTGGGAAGAATAATATATGTTTTAATTTGCTATGGTTAGATTATACTTAGCCCCAGTTTGCTTCCTTTAAAACTCTTCAATTTAATTTAAATTTTTCTCCCCTATTTTCAACCACACAATCTTCAATAAAATAATATTACACACAAATTGAAAACTTTTTATTCTTTTACAATATTCATTTAAAAAAAAAAAAAAAAAAAAACGTTATCGCCCCATTATAAACCCAAATAATGGGGGCCAAACGGGGTATTAGTAGTGTTTCTTCCTGCCTTTTTGCCTCGGTTTTCGAGTGCTGATCTTGCTATATATGTGTTATCTATTGAAGGAATCTCTTATCCAAATGTGGCTAAATAGTTGTTATTTTGTATTTTTACTGATTGAAAACTAATAATGGATTTGGCATCTGATGTTCCTATGTCTTCATTTATCAATTGAAATATGTATTGTGTTTGTCGTGTTTTTCCTCTGGCTTATGAAATCAATGTTTGCTGTGACAAATGTACAGATTTTATATATGTATATTAGTAGAAGGAATCTCTTATGCGAATGTGGCAAAATGGTTGTTATATTTTGTTTTTACTGATTGAAATCTAATAGTGGATTTGACATATGAGGTTCCTTTGTCTTCATTTAGCAATTGAATTATTTGATTTATGCATTGTTATTGTCATGTTTTTCCTCTATCTTATCAAAACCAATGTTTTTCTGTGACAGTTATACTGAGTCAGATCCTGTGAGAATTGCAGTAGAAGGTGTTGAAAGATTCAAGAAAGAAAATTGTGATCTCATAATTGTTGACACCAGTGGGCGCCACAAACAAGAAGCTGCTCTTTTTGAAGAGATGCGCCAAGTTTCTGAAGCAACAGTATGTTTTACTTTTCCCTTCAGATCTTCTTAACCTGGAGTTTGGACTTGAAAATACTAATGTCATAATTAAATATTCCAGAAACCAGATCTTGTTATATTTGTTATGGATAGTAGTATTGGTCAAGCTGCTTTTGATCAAGCTCAAGCATTCAAGCAAAGTGTAGCAGTTGGAGCTGTGATCGTTACTAAAATGGACGGTCATGCCAAGGGAGGTGGTGCTCTTAGTGCGTAAGTTCCTAAATGATTGGAGTGGAAATCATCTGTGTTATTTGGAAGCATTTTTTAGATGGTAGCTTTTGCAATGTATGTTGGTTTCATCTAACGTAACCAGTATACATCAAGCGTGCATGGATATGAGTCACTTTAATGTACTTGTTGAAAAGATATATCTGTTCTTCTGCTCCCATTGCAGAGTTGCAGCAACAAAAAGTCCTGTCGTATTTATTGGTACTGGTGAACATATGGATGAGTTCGAAGTGTTTGATGTCAAACCATTTGTGAGCCGTCTTTTAGGTTTGCATCCCTTTTCATAGTTCAATTAACTTCATTTCAGGTGTAAATTCAACGAATAAGAATAATCTGTGTTGTTGTTTTATTTGTTTTGTTTGTTTTGTTTTGATTTGCAATTTATAATTTTTCAATTTTCCATAGGTATGGGTGACTTGTCTGGATTCATGGATAAAATTCAGGAAGTTGTTCCGATGGACCAACAGCCCGAACTTCTTCAAAAGCTTACCGAAGGAAATTTTACATTGAGAATTATGTATGAGCAATTTCAGAATATACTTAAAATGGGTCCTATTGGGCAGGTAGGTCACTTGCCTCTGTTACTCTCTAGTGGTTTTGAGTAGGCATTGCATTTTTGTAGTCAGTTTGTCCTTTTTACAATTGTTGGTGTAACCTGTCACATATCTGCACAAAAAGGAAGGGAAAAAAAAAAAAGGCTCAATTTTCAGTTTTATGGATTTTGGCTGATTAAGGAAATTCAGCATATGTCTACGTAGTTTTATAGTAAAGCAAACAACATAACATTTGCAAGTTGCAAGAGGTGCTTATGCTCATTTTGCTTTTGAATTTGGTGCCTTAATGTATATGTCTTCCAAAGGATGGGTTGAGAAGAATTGGTTTTAATTGAATTTTATTGTGACCTGATAATTCATGGATTTACTTTCTACTTCACAAGACATTCATAATGACATATTTGCTAAGATGATTGTTTCTTTGTAGGTATTCTCCATGCTTCCAGGATTTAGTGCAGAGTTAATGCCAAAAGGCCGTGAAAAGGAAAGCCAGGCGAAGCTTAAAAGGTACATGACAATGATGGATTCAATGACTAATGAAGGTGAGTTTTCATGTTGGGATTACAAACAGATGACAGTTAAGAATATGTTTGGCTAAGATTAAAAGGTTTACTTAGAAGTAAATAAATTTGTTTCAAAATGATTAATTAATAATTATTTTTATTATAAAAAATAGAACTTCTGATTTTGACAGTAAGACAAGTTAATTCTAAAGTAAAGTAATTTTACAAGTTAATTTTAAAGTCAAGTAATTTTTTCCTTAAATTTAAGAAAAGGGTAACCTCTGGACATGTTTGGAAACATGGTTATTTAAAACTCCCCGTTATATTTAACCTTAGCCAAAGGTCTTCCAAGTCCAAGACGAATTTGTTCAAATCAATTTAGTTATTTCTGGTCCATTATTCTAATCAAATTTCTGTCATATTGTAGAGTTGGATAGTTCCAACCCAAAGCTCATGAACGAATCGCGAATCATGCGGATTGCAAGAGGTTCGGGTCGACAAGTAAATGATGTTAAGGAAATGTTGGAAGACTTATAATAAAATGAAGTAGAAAGCATAGGTAAAAAAATTAAAGTTAGGGACGAAGGGAAAAGGTTAAGGACCGTTCGTGCCAAAATTCCTAAAATATAAGAGATAAAATGATTTTATCTACCTCTCAATGCATTGAATGTTTTGTATGTATATTGCACATAGAACGTGAAGAGGAACCCTACCCAATGCCCACGACTCTCTCACACTCTTTTTCTTGAATAAAGTTACAGTCTTACTGATTGGTGTTGCTGAATTGTAGAGTGGTCCTAACTCCACACCACAGTCTTACTGATTTTCCAGGTCTCTCTCTCTCTCAATCCCTTGTATAAACTAGTTCTCTGATCTGAATTTAAGCTGTAAACTTACTTAAGTATTCTTTAAAAAGCTTAGCCAAACGTGCACTTCTCACTATAAAAGTTTTTTCACTCGTGGAATATTTTATGATGGCCAATTAATCAGGAAGAAATTCTTGTTACTTAATTCTTCAAATTTTGGTTCAGCATTTTCAAATTCATGTAAGCAGGGACGTGATTAATTATAGCCAAAAGTGAACACTAATTTATCATAATTATCAGATTTTTTTGGTGTCACAAGACGTCTAGAGTGGTTTGTCGAACCAATGTATTGTCTGCACTCTTCTTGAATTCAACAATTAACGATCACTTTTAACAGTTTCACTAGAAAAATAGGCTCATTGACAAGGTTTTTTGACAGACATATACATGGCATATGTTCATTGGCAGTTGAAAGAAAAATTAAATAGAGAATTGCCCATCAAAAACCGCCAAATCAGATCCTGGAAAAAGGCCCCGTCACTAAGTCTGTTTCTTTTGCTTTTTCCCACTTTTAATTTCATTAAACGTTTAGCTGAAATCATCGTATGATTAACAAAGTTGATTTTAGCGCGGCTCAATTGATAAACAAATAATAGTATCGCCTTTCGTGATTTAAGAAGACATGATTATTTATTCTAATTCATATTTCACATCTAGTCTCCATATATATTTGTTGTAGGAAAGGCAACGGGGTGGGGAGGGGATCTGATCAAACTAGCTAAGGCGGCGCAGGGTGGGATAACTTTTTGCCCCATTTGTTGCCTCGTTTAATTTTTTTACATTTTCAAAATTTCGAGTTATGTTATTATTAGAAAATAAAATACAAATTCAAAATGAGTTTTTAACTAGTGAATTGTTTAGAAATAAAATTATTTTTAATCCTTTTTTTTTCCTTCACGTGGCGGGACGGATTTTTTTGCCATCACTTATTTGTTGTATAAACATCTCAAGCGTCGACTATAGTTATTGGTTTGTTTAGGACGACGAACAAGTTGAAGTAAAAAAGTTTATCTACAATGTAAAATTAGAATTGATTATCAATATTTAAGTTTAGCACTTTTATTTTTTAACCAAAAAAAAAAGTGATTTATTTAAAAATATGTTGTAACTCTTAATCATCCACCTAAGCAAGCCATCAAGCCACGTGGAATGTCAGCCAAATCTTACACGGAAGACTAATTTGGTGACTGGATTGAAATTGTTTAAAAGTATGGTGACTAATTTGAAATTATCTAAACTTTGGTGCCCAACATGAAATTTAGAGCAAAGCGCCCATTCTATGGTAAAACTTCACATAACAAGAAACTACAAGGATTTAGAAGCAAAAATATCTTGAATCTAGTTAGGGTAAAACTAACCTCTTAGAATTTGATACAAGCTCAAGTAAAAGTCTACGTAAAACATGGCCGACGACGGTGCTTTTTCTCCGGCCGGAGAGGGTTTATCAGTGACCATCGGCATCCAATTAAATGTAATTAAATTTTAATTTCCCCAATTTCGTGCCGTTTTACTACAATTATTCAGCCACCTGATTAAGTTTAGCTACACTCCTGTATTGCACATATTTTAGGGTCCTTTTTCTTCCAGTATTTTTCTGCTAAAAAAAGTTATCATTTTTTTCCTGTGAAAATTAGGTTAGGAAATTTTGTTTGTAAAGTTGTTTATAAAGCATATAAATTAAGAGGTGTTGAATTAAATTGAAAAAAAAAATAAAAATACAGAATTATGGTCCTTCAGTCCTTATTGTGATGGGCCTGATGGCATTCAAATTTTGCCTTCGTATTTTATTTTATTTTTAAAAGTTTTTGCACTATCACGCAGTGATTGATATGAGCATCCCATGTGATGAGGATACTATCTTATGCATTTTGATTCAATATATCGGCCAGATTTTACTGGAGAATGGGGATTATTTATTTATTATTATTATTTTTTTTTTTCTGAGGGATTTTCATTTATGTAATTATCTATATTGATTGATGGTAGGGCATACCAATTACCATGTAATCTTTGAAATTAGAGATGCTAAAGTGGATTAGGTAGAAATCTTGATCGTTAAAGTTGCAGTAGAGAGAAGTATATCAGGTTCTACACTTCTATTTTCACGTTTAGAGTTCTAAATTTAGACTGATACTGTTATGGAATTAGCATCGTAAAACTATGCTATCGTTCCTGCTTTCATGTGCATTAATTTTCTCTTTATAAAAAAATGACTTGTCTGAGTGGTTTGATTTATCGTTCTTGTTGGCAATTGTAAGCTTTTTTCAGTTTCTTCTCTTTTATTTCACTCTAGATGGAAGGAGCTTCTGAAAATAGAGAAGAACTGCTTGAGGATGATGATGAGGAAGAGTTTGAGATGGAAACTAATGATCTCGATAATGTAGGTGACCAAGTTCTTGAAATCAAGAGCAATGGCCTTGAGAATGTTACTGAACTAGTTCCGGGAGTTGAAAGAAATGACCTTGAGAATGATGGTGAACAAATACTTGAGACTGACAGTGAGCAGGTGCTTGAATTTGAAAGCAATGAGCATGAGAGCAATAGTGACCAATTGCTTGAGATTCCGAGCAACTACCATGATAATAACAGTGACCAAATGCTTGGAATTCCCGGAAAAGAGTATGAGAATGACAAAGATGCTCATACTGCTAATGTTGATGGCCAAATTGATGGGTTGAAGGGAAAGTTTTATGTCTCTCCTGTTGTGGGAATGGAGTTTGAATCATATGATGATGCTTATAACTATTACAACAGTTATGCCAAAGAGGTTGGATTTGGCATCAGGGTCAAATCTTCTTGGACCAAGCGTAACAGCAAAGAGAAGCGCGGTGCAGTGCTCTGTTGCAATTGTGAGGGTTTCAAAACAATGAAAGAAGCAAACGCTCGAAGAAAGGAAACAAGGACTGGATGCCTCGCAATGATAAGGTTGAGGTTGGTAGAGTCCAACAGATGGAGGTTGGACGAAGTTAAACTTGAACATAACCATTTATTTGATCCAGAAAGGGCTCAAAACTCCAAATCACATAAGAAGATGGATTCAGGAGCCAAAAGGAAGTTGGAATCAGCTGTTGATGTAGAAGTGCGAACTATCAAATTATATCGAACTCCTGCTATTGATGCAGTGGGTTATGGAAGCTCAAATGAAAGGGAAATCAGCAATCATATTGAGCAGCCTAAACGGTTAAAACTTGGGAAAGGTGACGTACGAGCCCTTTACAACTATTTTTCCCGAGTACAGCTTGCAGATCTGAATTTTTTCTACATTATGGATCTAAATGATGAAGGATATGTAAGGAATGTGTTTTGGATTGATTCTAGGTCAAGGGCTGCCTATGGTTATTTTGGAGATGTGATTGTAGTTGACACAACGTGCTTATCAAATAATTATGAAACTCCAGTTTTGGCATTCACTGGAGTAAATCACCATGGTCAATCTGTTTTGATGGGTTGTGCTTTGCTTGTGGATGAAACCATGGAGACATACGTTTGGTTGCTGAGAGCATGGCTTACATCTATGTCAGGACGTCCTCCGCAAACTATAATTACAGACCACTGCAAGGCCTTGCAGAGTGCAATAGCCGAGGTTTTTCCTAGGGCTCACCACTGTCTCTGTCTGCCCCTTGTTATAAAGGGAATTCATGAAAAGTTAGGAGAAGTTGGGAGGTCAGAAATGTTTCATACAATACTGAACAGAATGGTGTACAAATCAACAAAAGTTGAAGAATTTGAAATTGATTGGGAGGAGATGATCGAGCATTTTGCTATCAGGGATCACGAGTGGCTTCAAAGCTTGTATGAAGACCGAGAGCGGTGGGTTCCAGTTTATTTGAAAGATACATTTTTTGCGGGAATGTTTGCTTCTCAACCAGGTGAGTGCATGAGCTCTTTCCCCCATGGATATGCACATAAACAAACAACTTGGAATGAGTTTTTTGATATGTACGAGTCCTTCCAACAAAAAAGCATTCAGAAGGAAACTCTTGATGATATTGAGTCAAGAGAGTTTACCCCCGAGTTGAGAACAAGTTGCAGTTATGAATTACAGCTTTCTGACATTTATACCAAGGAAATATTCTTAAAGTTCCAAGATGAAGTGGAGCTAATGTCTAGCTGTTTTAGTGTAACTCAGATTCATGCTAACCTGCCAGTTATCACCTATTTAGTCAAAGAACAAGATTCCAAGGGAGATGCAAGGGACACAAGAAACTTTGAAGTTATTTATGATAAAATAGGAGCCGAGGTGCGCTGTATTTGCGGTTGCTTCAATTTCAGAGGGTATCTGTGTCGACATGCATTGTGTGTCCTCAGCTACATTGCGGTTAATGAAGTCCCAAGTCATTACATCTTATCACGATGGAGGAAGGATTTGAAACGCTTGTATGCATCAGATCTAGGTTCCAACAATATTGATATCACAAACCCCGTTCAATGGTTTGATCACTTGCATAGACGTGCAATGCAAGTTGTAGCAGAGGGAATGACATCTCAAGATCATCATATGGTTGCTTGGCAAGCATTCAAGGAGTCGCTTAATAAGGTACGACTTGTAGCAGACAAACGTGTATAATATACTAAACAGTGTACAAAATTGAACTATTCTAGTCACATATTAATTTAGACATTTTACTGTACAGCAAGAGTGGAATATTCTTTTCTATGCTTCTTGTTTAAATATTGGAACAAATAAATGTTTATTTGTAAGTGGTTTAATGGGTTTATTTTCTAGGAACTGGATAATGTATGTTGTGCCTCTATTTAATGAGTGAAAAGTAATGGAATGATGTGAAGAAATTAAGTGGCATTTTATCTTTCGGAGATTTCATTTCCTCGAAAACTTATTCCATCTATCGTGCCTACCATGATTATCTATTTCATTAGTTCTAATTGAGCACTCCGTGTCCATATCGTATAATTTTATGTATCATGTATCGACAGATCAGTTTGCACCCCGCTCAATAGCCAGGAATTTTTGTGCTGTATTTAAAGGTTCATCAAACGAAGGGTTGTGTTGAGAACTTACTTTATCGGTGAAATATGCTAGTTAAATATGTAAATATCGCTGGGAATTTAAAGAGAACCTTAATTGAAGATCGAACTTCTAAGGCTCAATATAGGAATATGTTAAGATACGGAAATGAATTATTCTCCCTATGATTTGTTGTTGTCAAAAATTGTTTTTGGCAGTAGTCAATCCCTGTGAGACAGCTGTGTTTTCTGTATAAAATTCGTTAAAAAAATTTGTACTTGTAACATTTCTATCTGAGGAAGTTAGCCAGAATCCACTAAACTGACTTTGGTTTTCCTGATTAATTTATTTTGCATTTCATTTTCTATTCGATGTACCGAAAATGGATGACCCTAAAAAGTCAACATTTAGTTTTCACATGAATTCGGATATGTCGCTATCTAATAAAGCAAAAAATTTAGATATAAATGTTAAAAAAAAAAAAAAAAAAAATGGGGGTTGCACAGTGATGAGGGAAAACTTGTTTTACGGGAAATTATAGAGATCACCCAAGTATATAAATTCTGTTTAGGAAGTAGAAGAAAACACGCTTTTTCGCCGACGGAGAAATAGTTCCCTTGCAGAGAAGCTATGATTTCCTCCTTTGACTGGGACTCTTCCTTATATTCTATTCTATAAGTAAATAAAAATGTTATTATTTATAGAAAAATAATATACGAGAACCATGTCGAGAAAGAATTTGGTAACCTGATAATATACAATTATGACGTATTTAGTAATTAGATTGAGTGTCTAGACTAATATATTTTTACAAAAAGAATTAATAATAATAATAATAATTAAGATGCATGATATCGTGAGTTACAAAATGCATTGTATTGAGAACGACGTAATGATTATCACAAGGTAATATGAGTAAGAAAGACTAGACAAGATAAATTTTCTAATCCATACAAAATATCTGTGGGATTAAATTAAGTGGACAGATTATTTTTAGGGTAAACTGTGAAATGTCACAGGGTTGGGCAATCAATGGTGGACAGTTTTAATTTCAAGTCATGGGAAAAGATGCATGGATGAAAAAAACTCTAGATTAGGTCCAAAGTCTATAGATAAGGTTTAATTTGGTGAGTACCCATGTCGTTTTCTTGCAAGACTTTCTTGTCATGTTACTTACAATCAATGGAATTCTTTTGTCAAAGGTGAATTCCAATTTTTCAATCTTTTTTTGACTTCTAATGCCCTCATTTTTCTTTCAATACCTTATTGATGTATAAGACTAGTGGAGGTTGCAACTCGCCTCGTACATGTTTAAAACTAGCGTGATTTGTAATAAATAATCGATAACATCAACACGAATTATGGGTTCAAGTTACTAATGTCAACATAGTTACAGGTTCAAGCGACTGACATCAAAATGCGTTACAAGACTTGGTGATTAAGACTAATGAACGAATGATGCATCTTTTTGCATATAACAAATGATTGATATGTATATCAACGTGTGTCATGAGAATAAATATCCTTACGAGCATATATTTACATTAGTTTTATTGCATTCTTTGACATTTAAGACTCATTAAGGATGCACAATCTCCTACGTATCCAAAACTCGAACATTTAAATATTTGATAATAAAATAATCAACATCATGTACGTTACAAGTAGAAATATCATTATAAACATAGATACATTAGTTTTATTGCATTGCTGTTATGGCCTAAGACAGATGAAGGTTGTGTATTGTATGTAATACGTTATTAGAGCCATCAACATACGTTATAAGTGCGACTATCCTTACTAGCACGTATACATTAATCTCGTCCCATAGTGTATCATTTCCCATTCATATCTAAACTTCGTGTATCTAATAATAATAGCAAGCAATATCCTCTGTGCAACACAAGTACAACGGTTTTTCTTATTTAGCTAGATTTGACACATTTATTGCAGGGTAAAAAATTATTGACAAGCCAGGGTACTTGAAACTTTGATGATCAGTACACGTAAATGTTTCATTGATTTTCAATCTTCGAGTCAGGTTCATTAAAGATTCAATTTTTTGAAAGAATTTGAAAAATATCACATTTGGGTATTTTTCATGCTTCTTGACTTTTTTTCGATAGAAATTTTGCTGAATCGATCGACTAAAAGTTATTTTTAATTACTTTTTTAAAATCAAGATTCTTCTTGATACTACTATTTCATTAAACCAACAAAAAATGCAATAAAATTCTTGACATAGATATTTATACACTGCTAGCTAGTGCAGAGATTATACATAAAAAGTTAAAGGCAATAATCCAAAAAATTGAACAACTATAATTAAAAAAGAGAAAATGATTTATTTTCTTCAGGTGATTGAACTGGAAACAATGGCAGAAGCTCCGGCGGTTCAGCCCCTCGTGGAGTGCTCAATGGACTTGGGTGCAAATAATACCCCTTCTCAGCAATGGCTCTTTCTTCTTCCTCCATGGGTGATCTCGGCGTTCTTGGACTCCCACGTGCAAAAAGCTCCAATTGCGAAACCGGTGAAGCCATTACCATTTCACCATTACCCAAAAAATTCCTCTGCTGATGCCTTGCAGTAGAAGGCGAAACCATTGAGTTTGAACCGGCGGCTCCGCCGCCTCCGAGCTTGATTTCTAGCTTTCTTGCAGATGGTCTCCTTTCATGCAGTTTAAAGGCGGGTTTCCTAGGACCCATTTCGCCTGTGATGGGTTTCCCGGCGTGGCAGGAGGGGGTGGTGGCTGGGAGTTTGTGGGCTGCTGAGTCTAGGATCGTAGTCCCGGTAAGTTTCTGAACGACGGCTCGGAATGTTGAAGGGTCGGCTTGAACAAAAGTGGTGTTGGGTATTGAGTTTGGATCGAATCCGTTTGGAAATGCAACAAATTGTACGTCGGAGTCGGGATTTTTGCGAGCATTGGGACTATAAGAAGAAGAAGCCATTTGAAAGAAGAGACGAAAATGAACACAAACGGAAAAGAAAATCCAGAAAAAGTATTATCGAATGAGGTGTTTATATAACACATAGAGAGATGAGAGAGAAAAGTTCATCGAGGGAGGTAAAAATATCAGATAGCCGAAGAATTTTAACTCGGCAAACCACCTGAATATACTGCTTTGTTATTTCCACTCTACCTTGGCTAATTCCACGCAAATTGAAATGAGGGTATCGGTATGATTTTCCATCTATTTTCCTCTTGGGTCAATTGTTGGAGAGGAGACATTCGAACTCTCAACGCTGTGATTCTCTGAGTTACAAGCTTACACTGTCTTCACTTGATTTGTTCTCGAGAGTAAATTTTTCATCTCGCTCGCCATTTCATTTTGATACAAGACGATTTAAAAGCGCATTTATCTCTATAGGAATAGCGTCCTACGATGTGTATGAGGATGACTATTGTATATCCTTCTTTTTTAAATTTATAACAATACTTAAAACGTATCTTAGCTTGAGTAAATATGCCCATGTTTGGTAGAGCTTAAAATTCATATTTTAATATAAAAATCAAAATCAATAATTAATTTTAACCACATATTTTAACGGGATCTACTACTTTTCAATCACACATTTCATCAACTTTTATCAAAATCTATTAAAAATCTGATTTTAATCCATACCAAATAGGAGATATATATTTAGCCTCCATTTGGTTTAGATAATAATTGTTTTAGTAAATTTTGATAAATATTGATGAGATATATGGTTGTGAGTCTCATAAATGTGTGGTTAAATTGATTGTTGAGTTTAACTTGGATTTTAATAATTTTTTTAGCTGAAGCAAACATGAACCTATTTTTCAATGTTAATTAAATTTATTAGTGTAATTGTCTTTTTATTAAATTCTCCAGTTATTAAAATTTATACCAAAATAAGAATGGAGGAAAAAATAACATTTGGATCAAATTTTTTTAAATTCGTAAAATTCATGGATAGTTTGAAAATTTGAAAGAAAAAGTGAAAAAATAATAAATGAGAAAGAGCTAGCAATGAATGATGAGTCATAACTCGTAACGGGACATTGAAACGGGAAACGAGGAAGACTTAAGGGGTCAGTCAATTTCTCATAATTATATAAGGTTTTCTTACTTCTTTCAGTAAATAATAATAAGAAAATTATATATTTAGCCTGAACACCGTTCTTCCAAAAAAAAAAAAATGCATTTTTAATAGTGTTTTGATATTATTTCAATCACACATTTTTCAATAAAATAATACTACACATAAATTCAAATTTTTTTTATTTTTTAACCACACATTTTTCATCAATACATTATTCAAAAATGCATTTTCCCCCCAAAATGGGGCTCAAACAAGGACTAAATGTAGTATTAAATATCGTGAATCCCAACCAGACTCACTTTAAGGGCTTGTTTGGGAGCGATTTTTTCAACCAAAAAAATTGATTTTTTGACCGTTATTTCACTATTTCAGCCATCATATTTGACTTCTTCTCTCACAGGTGAACTCCACTTTTCTCCTAACGGTCAAAAAATCAATTTTCAAAATCACTCCCAAACAGGCTCTAAGTTTGCTATCTTGCCTCACCTGTGTGTGTTAAATATTGAGTTGGGCGGAGAGGTAAAAACTAAAGAGGTTAGTGTTTATATAAATGAAACAAATTCTCTAAAAGTCTATATCAAAATTAATATAGTTTATTGTGAACCTTAGTCTATTCATAATGATACAAAAGTATTTAATAACAAGGTTTTCAATTCTTCATTATGTTCCATGAGTTGAATTCTGATCGAACTTCTCATGTGGATTTGAGCGTCAAAATGCGTATTAATTGGCTATATGTTTGTGTGGCTTCCATTATTCTCTTTGTTCATTTTTAATTTAAGCCAATCTTTGATGGCCATTATTTAGGATTTTGAATATTTTAAATAGTGAATTTTTGAAGAATGCATAATTTAAAGTAGAGAAAATTTGAATTTGCGTACAGAATAATTTATTGTGTGAATATGTGGTTAAAAATAAATAAATATTTAGAAAAAGGGATTTAAAATAAAGAATGTCAAACTAGGGCTAATTCAATATTTTCTAGTTTACCTCTAAAGTCGTCACATGAGATTTTAATATCTAAATTTTCTTTTGGATAAATAGTAATTTATAAATTTAATCAAAGCCAAATATTAATTTCAATCACAAATTCATAGTGATTTTGAGAATTGATTTTTTGATCGTTAGAAGAAAAGTAGGGTCCACTTGTGAGAGAAAAAGTCAAATATAACGATTGAAATAGTGAAATAACGGTCAAAAAATCACTCCCAAATAGGCTGATAATATACTACTACTAATTGACCATTGCAAATGATTTAAATATGAACAGAAATATGTCCCCACGTAAATTTTAATGAGTAGTTATTTTTCTGGATTCAAATTTGAAGAAGAAATAAATAAAAAAATCCGACCCACCCACTCAACCACTGGAATGCTACAGCTACTTTTCCCCTTAGCTTGCGTGAAGGAAAAGAAGTTTGACATAGAAAAGGGGTTGCATTAGTCTTGTTTCAGTTACAATTTTAGGGTTTTGTTTGTTAGTACGTAAGTTTTGCTTTGCTTCTTTCAGTTACTTTGCTCAGATTCTTTTGCTTTTGTTTTCAGAATTTCTCTGACTTGTTGGGGTACCCTTCTTCCATTTTTTCCTTTTTACCCATAAATCTATGGAAGCTTGTTGGATACAATAATTTGTAGTGTATTTTGTGAGAGATGGAAAAATGATTTTATTCGAACGACAAGGTCGGTATCATAGCGGCCCATGCTAGGTCACTTTCAATTTAGCATAACTCGCAATTCAATCAGTATTAAGTTAGTTAAGTCTAGAATTTTTATATTGATCGAGAAGGTCGATATGATAGTGGCTGCATAAAACGAGTCATTGGCATACAAAAAAGCATGAAAGTGAATTAGCATGATCAACATTTTAAATTACATGAAATGTTTGAGTGAAATATGTGCTCGATGATATTATAAATGTAACTTTTTCCCATGAGACATTTTCTTTTATGCCACTAAGAGATTATATTCCTTTTCATCCATACTTGGAAGCAAAGGTTGATGCCAGCAAGACATGCCCCTACCAAATTTTTAGCAAAGTAAGATCATGTTATCATATAATTAGTAATTCATTAGTCCTCATTATTTTACATCACATGCCACTTCCTAAAAGTAGCATACGTGACACAATTTAATATGTACAGATAATAAGCTTGAAGCCAAGAAAAAATCAAGTAATTTCAACTCTGTTTTATATCAATGAAGAGAATCAAAACAAGTAGTTTATTTTTGTATTTCACTTTTCAATATTCAAATCCAGGGGAATGATTGAATTTTTTAGAATATCGGAAGCAATTCTCAACTTATATATTTATGAAAATGGTTATAACGGTGTCTAGTAGTTCAAACAGCAAGTTGGACCAAGTTCTGTGCGCAGCATGGCACACAGCTCGATTTATAGCACCCTCACATCAAGGCGCTCGCATCATTTTTTTATTGGTGCGGGCCCCATCGAGCTGTGAGAGTGCTGTACAAACAATTTATTCATTTCAAGTTATTGTCCCTTTAAAAAGAGTAGGTTGGTCACTAATATTTTCTAGTTTCAAAATCATTCACCGTTGATCGGTACTATCCAATTTTTTGCTAAAGTTTCACAAGATTCTGTGGGTCCAACTTTATGAAGCTAAGTTTTACTTCTCAACTTGGATTGGTGTTCAAAATTTGAAATGAGTAAATGTTTACACAAGAATCGAACGACAATTTAATGAAACTTTGGATGATTTCTATATTGAAAATGATTGTTCACCTACAATGAAAGATTAAAGATCAAAATGCTCATTTTTAAATATTGAAATCCAGATATTAAAAAAATAGGTGAATTGAGTAATTGTGCAAATTCTTTTACATTTATCAATAGGATAAATAAAATACTTCATATGTTCCATGAAGATAAGTTTGCTTTTCTTTTTCATGTGACTCAAATTATATGTCACTTTCCTTATTGATGGTGTAGTTAATTTCTTAATTTTTTTTAATATGTCCCTATTTAATGTATCTTGTTATAAAAAAAAAAATACGAAATATCATTATTCAATTTAAGAATATATTAGAAAAATGTAAATAAAATTTATAATTCCAACTATATTAATTAAGTTTTCTTAATTAGTGTGTGAATAGAAATAAACCTATCTATATGGGATGGACATAATATTATTTTCGGCTTGGAACCTCATTCTAAAAGTGAGTAGATAAATTTCCACAGGTACTTATTATCTACGGATTAAACTATTTGTACACAGCCACCCTTCCAATAAGGGGCCGCCACGTGTTGTGTGTGTAAAAGATTGTGTAAATCATTAGGTGAATATAGCATGGTCCATTATCTACTTTTGAGTTCACCTTTAAAAAAACAAATAAAAAAAATAGCCAATACTCCAAACTTTTCACATAGTCAAAAAATTACTCATATACTGACATCCATTGTAATTGAGACCTAGAATAACAAAATGTCTCATTTTTGCTCTGTATCGGATGGAATGGAAATTTCTATATCCCCTGGGCGACACGTGTCATAATGGCCGGGACAAGGAGTTGCGATCCCTTAAGTATGAGCTAACCACAAAAACCTGTCCTCAGTTCGGCAAAAAATTACTCATAAAAATGTAATTGAGACGTAGGATAACGAAATGTCTCATTTTTGTTCTGTATGCATAGAATATAACTAGGGGAACAATATTATTATATAGTGGACTATATTAAGATAAAGGGAATATTAACTAATAAAGACACACACTACTGAAGTTTATGTTCCTAGATCACATAATTAATAATGGAAACCGAGTAGATGATCAACGACATTCAAGACAAAGATTACTACATTGGATGGCTTTTTCCTATGCGAACATGGAAATTATGATGGCTATTCTCTAAGCTAATTAATTAATTAATCATGATTGCATGGAGGACTTTTTGACTTTTTAAACCTGAAATGAATAGGTTATAATTCTTAACGTGCAACTTGGTAAGAGATTAAGATTCTAATCGATCGTGGCTCACTTAATCGTAATTTTCATAAACAATTGTAATGTATAATAAATAGAGTACGTTATCTTCTATCGTTAAAATCAAATTATATTGTTATTCATGTAGGTGACGGTGGTGGTGGTGCTATGATAACCTAGGTTGTATGTTTTCACATATCCTTCTTTATCCTTTGTCGCATTAATAGGTTTGAACGGTCGAGAGGCCAATTTCC